AAGCCCCTTTGCTCTTACATCACTCGGTGCTTGGGGGGCAAGTGTACTGGCCAGCCGAGTTGCCGACTTGTCCCTCACCAATCTGCTGACTCGGTCAAAGGTTTACCAGCCTAACCAAGCAGTAAGCTCATTATTGCCGAGCTCCTCAGCCTGACCATGAAACATGGACATCGGAACACCACATCGGCCCAAAGAGGCCACGTCATCAAACAAATAAAAATACAATCTTGTCACCGCGCCGCCCACGCGTTATGGGAACGAGGTGATGGTTATGACACATGGCGTCATGACAAATAGGCGTACGCGAAAAGTCACGACCCCTTGTCGAGCTCGGTCTTAACTCCTCGACCTACGGTCTTCGGAGCTCGGGGGGCTAGTGTACTATCCGTACCGCTATGCCGAGCTCGAGCTCGGCATCACAGCACGGAGTGAACTTGGACACGCGCTAGGCGACATCGGCTCGCTATCCAATTAGGTCATAAACTGATCTCGAGCCCAAGACCCAACAAAACCCTAATACACACAAAGGTACGTGCATTACTTATACGAGACTCATACACCCACAAACACTAACTTTAGCATCAGAGTCTCTTTTGCAGGTACCACCCCCCATCTTGGAGCATCAATGTACTAGTGAAGGAGGCTCACCGACCTTACCTAGCGGATCATCCCTACCTCGGATCCCCGGTAAGAACAATATCTAATGAGGTTATTTTAATAAAGGATATTTTGGTAAAAAAATATATTTATATACTCTAAAATATACTATTGTAACCAAATGAAAAAATCTTTAATTCTTGGAAAACTTGTATGAAAATATTCTCAAGAACCTATATGAGTAACCAAATAAGTTTTAACTATTATCAGGAATTATCATTCCTATGGTTCATAATTCTCAGGAATCATGATTCCAAGGTATGAAAAAATTTCTCCCCTACCAAACGTCTCCTAACTGTAGAATTAATTATCATCAAATACTAGAAATAATATAAGAAACACAAACCAACCTTTATAGACTAGTGAAAATGCGGAACTTCGTGTCTCACCATGAAAAATGAAAAAAAAATAAAAGAAATGAAATTAAAAAAAAGTTGTGGTTAATTTCATAATAATGAGATAATTAAACAATTTAATTAACGGGTAAAAAGATAGTTAAACAAATTAGTTAAAGGGTAAAAGGGTTAAAAAAATATGAATATCAAAATAAGATAGTCCCTTTATATATTAATATTATGTAGAATATAAATTATAGATAATTGTTTCTTATATATTCTTGTGTTTTAAATTTAACTATACGCTTTAGATAGCGGGACTCTTCTTAAGACGTAGATTAAGACATAATTCAAACCATAAAATCAATTTGTAAATTGAGTGTTCTTTTACTTAAATATGCTATTTTAGTTATACTTTTAATTGATATAAGATCTCTAACACATTCCTTTATATTGAGAATTGAATTTGAGTGTGAAGTTTGTACATTTACACATACCACTACAAAAAAGATGTTCTAGCGACCAACTAAATCCATCACTATTTAGTCTATTTTGGTCGTTATTTCACTCAACAACCAAATTAGAGACTAATCAAAATTCGTCGTTAAAAATTGATAGTTGTTGCTAATAATGATCGAAACTTTTTTCATCGTAACTTAGCAACCAGATATAGACGTCACTAGAACTAAACATCAGTCATTATAATATTAGTTGCCTAGCTTCAAGAACCAATTTTGCGACCAAAACTTGTGATTGCAATTTTCAATCGCCAACAATTTAAAAAAAAAAAAATTTTGTCCCTAATTTGGTCACAAAATAGTCGTTGAGTTATGCAGCCGGTATTTACGTCGTTAAATAAAACATATTTTAATTAATTTGTATTCATTTTCATATTTTTTTGTCAATGAATCAGTCGCAAAATATTTTAAAATGGCTGCTAAATTATTTGATCGCTAAGTTTAACCATTATTTTTTAATTTTTTAAAATTTAATTTTAAATCTATTAATAAATATATAAAATTAACAAAATAAAATACTAAAAACAAAAACATAGTGATAACATAAAAAGTCATAACTGGAAACTAAAAAGACTTTCATGTTATCTCATCAATGTATACTGGAAACTAAATAAAATATAACTAGGTCAATATGATATATTGAAAACATAGTGATAACATAAAAAGTCATAACTTCAACAAAGTAAAAGTGAAATAAAACTAGATATCTTGAAACAAGTAACATAAAGGAGTCTAAGCAAGGGCTTTCTTCAACAAAGTAGAAGTGAAACACAACTAAAAATCTTGTAATAAGTAAAATAAAGGAGTCCAATTAAGGATTTTCTACTATCTCATCAAGGGCATCACCAACATCGTGCTTGAGATCATCTAGGGTAGTACTCGATGGAGGAGGAGTTGGCCTTAAAAGGTCAATGTTGAGGTGTCCTAGTATATATTGCATTTGCTCATCATGTTATCGTATATGTTCTTCCAACACCTTTTTCCTTTGCTTCCTTAGTAGCAAGCTTAACATTTAATTTAGCTATCCTATTTTGCATTTACTTTATCACTCCTATAGTGATTGGTGATGCATGTAGCATAAAAGATTGGGGACGTGTTGAGTGAATAAAATCATCAGTCAATTTAGCAAGCCCATACAAGTTCACCTTTACATCCTTTTTAACCACCTGCAAATAAACTAGTATCACTAATACAAGTAGAACTAGAGCACTTTATGCCTTTATGTGTAACTTGTTTCTTGGCCTCAATTAAATGCTCCTTATAATTCTCCTGAAAAATAAAAATAATATTAATTTTTTACAATTAATAACACAATAAACTTTAAAATGATAGTAAAAATATAATGGTTAAACTTTTAGCTAAGACTATTAATAATAAAACAATATAATAGTAAAAATTTCAAGATAACATATTCTTTGATTTTAATTCAGCAAATAAGTATTATGTTACAACTTTTAAAGAAAAAAAAAAGTCATAAAAGAAACATATGAGAGTGAAGTTTACTGACCAACACCAACAAGAATAAATAAATTGTATGACTAGTGTCGCCACCCGCCGAAACGAACATTGGCATTCGCGA